TAATTATTATTACGAGTATTCGACKTATCACGCATCACCGTCCGACTGAGTTAAATATGTTATGAATTTATGAAATATTTATGAATTACGATGATGGTCTGCAGTGCATGTCAACAAGGCCCGCCGGTGTACCCACTCCTCCTCTGTGGTGTTGTGATCATTTATTATTCCTATACTCACCTCGAACCGTCCTTCTTTATTGGACACGTACAATAATTATTAGTTATTACATAAAACATTGTCGAAGGATAATTTTTATTTTTTTTTTTACGTCGATTTTCCGATGAGCTAACGATGATTATTTACGTCCACGGGTTGTTATCGCTGTTGCGAGTTTATTATTTTGTTGTTTTTTATGGTTCATGTGCGTTAACCGTAAAATGCAGTCAAAATAACATTTTTTATTTGACGGATGCGTATAATAGCCGCAATATTGTTATATTACGGTTTTTCAACAACTCAGAACTCGGATAAATGCCAMAACGTATATTATATAATTATTATTTAATAATWATTATTAATATTGGTACCTAAGTACTACAAAATTACTATCATGTATGGTATGATACGTTTTGAATTAACTGTTTCGTATTCTTATAATATAATTATTGTCATCACATTGGGGGCCTGTTGTCTRCAGCTTTGCTTTTACGTATTTTATGGTGTTAATAATTATCGTCATTAAACCACCATATACACGTGCACAGTGTTATGTGTACACACTACACGTCATATTGTGTACTGTTATGATTATTATTATTATTATTATTAAGCATCTCTCAACTCTCTCAAGTGTTGATAAACGTTTAACGTGATTTGATTGAGCTTTCGAGAACATTATARTAATCGTATTTAAATTTTAAACCGATAAACGATGATATACGTATTTGTCCATATATTATGTTGTCACGATGACATTCATTTCGTTATAAGTCTATATAATACCATCATAATAAATATATTATTTGCGTTATTCGGGCGAAAACGTATTTYTTCGGTTCGATAGATAGATTAATACGAACAATTAATACACGCTTAGAAGTCGACGTCCCGATGATACCTGCAGCGTTTTTCGAGGACGCAAATGTTACGCTCAGCAGATCTCGTTTATTAGCTCCGTTAGTATAAAAATATCGACCTCTTATAAAATGTTAAAGTAATATTATTGTTTAGGCAACTTTGTGGGCTTTTTATTTGATTTTGAAGTGAGTTGTATACATAAGTATTAAGTATCGTATATAAGAGATGTAGGAAGAATTTACTGTTTTAAAATATTTATAACTCGCTTCGAAATAAATAAATAAAAAAAAAACCACGCATATTAGGTTATCTATATAATAATCAGCTCTTATCTTTGAATTTTGTTAGAGGTCAATTTTTTCAAGTTTTTAAACTAACGGAGCTAAACGTGAACCGTTGAGTGTAAAATTTGCCATGTTATATATTGTGCACTTGCAGTAAGACGGGGACAACGCACATCATACGGATATACTCGTATTATATCGTAGTCCTTCTTAAATATTATAAATTAAAATATAATACTATAGTATATTGTTTATAGCCGGGTAAGATAACGAAGCATTGAAAAATCTCAAATCGTCTCGTTCCGTGTTTAACTCTGCAGATTTATAGAAGTTTTGTGAACCATTTTTCTATAATATAGAGCAGCGGAGACACGGTCTAACGATAAAAAATAACGGGAACGTGAATTTGATTTAATAATCGTCGAATAAATTGCGTCGACTGTTATACCTAATAATTTGTGATATCATTATGCCAATATATGCACTTGACGCTGTGTAATGAGTTGTGTTGAAGCATATTAATCATAAATTATAATTTAGACGCTTATTTTTGAAATTATATCTAGGTGATTAAAACAAATTTAAAGTCGTTACAAAACCAACAATTTCGGAAACATTTTTTTTTTTTKWKGATAACATCATATAACATACCTACTTGRTTTCAAATTCCGAAGAAAAATATTATTTGGAGTATTTCGATCTACATATTATATAAAATTCAAATTTCAGACAATAAGTGGCTTGTTGAGTATTTAAAGTTTATAGATAAGCGAAGTATTTGACCAATATTATTCTGGTTATACGGTTTTACACTTATACCGCTCCACCTAGCTTATCTAAACTTTAAATAGTAATAGCTCATAAGTCAATATAAACTCGTCCAAAATTTATTTTTATTTTTCGAAGTACTCCAAAAATATATTCTTCGTGCCATTAAAAAAAAAAATCAAAATTAAATAACTTAAGATAAAAAATAGAAATAAGTTTATGTTTTTTAGAAAAATTCTACTTTGACTGCTTAAAATTATGTAAAAAAAAAAAAAAAATAAAATATGGTTTTTAAATATTATGATTGAATGTCTTATTTTAATTTCATCACCTGGTGTAATGCACACACAAAGTTATAATAAATAATAATCCTTTTGCGTTCGGGCATTTGGGAATAATAATTATGATGATTATATTATAATATAGTGATTTAATAAATATCCAACACGCGGTATTCGTTATTCGTACTTGGACAATAATAATTGAAAAAATAATATATTGTCGGTAAAACGATCGTCGTGTATATAATATTATAGTCTTTAATATTATATATAAACAACGAATTCGTATGGTATTATAATGTGATGCCACACAGCTGCAACGGATTCGCGCGACGTGGTTTTATATTTAGACTAGGTATCAAAACAAAGCGACCTTTGTGTATTTTGATTTTCACGGTTTAAATTCGTATACACAGACTTAAGAGGACGTAACACTGGCGTTTGTCGTCTTTGTCTTACAATAGTGCATAACACACCAAATTTACCCTCAGTAGATCACATGTAGCTTCGATGGTTTGAAAACGAGAGTGAATCGATTTATCGWGAAACTTACTGTGGTATGTGATCATATTATTATCTGTATTTGTAATATTTGTATGTGATTTTTTTACGATAGTTCAGTTTAAAGTAAATTATGAGCATTTTAATTTATGCCAGTTTCATATGTGCATAGGCGGATAGGCCTACCGAGCAACCGGGCATTTCCCGGTGGGCCCCCCTTCGTATTCCGGTAATGGGGCCCCCTTTAATATCATATATAATTT